ACCCCTGCCCCCCAGTGGGGCCTGACCTGTCTGCACGAGGCACGGCCCAGACAGCTGTGAGGAACGCTCCGAGGTTCCCCCTTCAAATCCCAGCTGCTGAACCTCAGTCTCCCCATCTATTAAATGGGGGCGATGTTTGCCCCTGGGACAGATCAGCGGCAGGCTGGGCATGACGTGTGGCACCTGGCATTCCTCAGCTGGTTTGAGGGGCTCCTCGGGTTAGAGGCCCAGGAGCCTCCAAGCAGAGCGAGCCTCCAATCCCTGCTCAGCTCACTGGCCTGGATGAGCAGATGCTCAACAGGACAGAAAATCGATGTGAGGGCGGGAGGGCTCCCTGCGCCGGGTACCCCACCCCCACTCCCACGGGGCCCGGCCGCACTAGAGCTTTCTGGCTGCAGATATTCTGAGCTCCGCGGGCGACGTGACCCAAGGGCAGCCTCTCAAAAGTGGCCGAAGCCAAGAAATGCAGTCCAGCAACCAAAAAAGGAATCCCCAGGCTTGAGTTCCTTCACTCAAGCGAACACGCTCGTGCTCACCCTGTGCGGCGTGTTTGCGCTTCCCCCTCGGCTTCTCTCACCGCAGCTGCCTGGGCCTCTTGGGGAGGGTTGCCCCCAAGCCCCTGCCCTAGTCCTTGCCCGGGAGCCTCTCTTGTCCTCCTCCTGACAAAAAGCTCCAGGTCTGGGAATGACAGCGCTGTCCTCAAGAGGAGAGGGAGGGAAGGAAGCTGAGTAGGCGGTCAGACAGTCAGTGGTGGAGGGGACAGCGTACCCTGTTACACAACAGTCCCTCTTTCCTTTCCGCTAGAGGTAGCTTGGACAGGCTTCTGTGTCTGCCCCAGGATCTTTGCACCTGCGGTGCTCACTGCTTGAATGCTCTTGCTTCATAGCTTTTTCATGGCCTTTTGCCATTCTCTTCAGGCCCCTCCTCAAATGTCACCTCCTCAAAGAAGCCATGGCATCTAAACAAGCTCTCCTGTGGCAGATGTTGTTTTCTCTCTTGAAGACAGTCCTGTTTTCTGTTGGAGCCACACTGTCAATAGTCCCAGGGTGCAGATAGGACTCAGGGCAAATGAGGCATCAGGGAATGATTGCTGGGGGTCTGGGAAAGGTGTTCCTCCTTAATAAAGGAGAGATCCTTCCTTCTTATTTTGGGCACCAGATGTGAGGATGTGATGTCTGGAGCCGTGGCAGTCACCTTGCAGTGCTGAGGGGACCACCCTGAAGAGGAAAGCCAACTGCCGTCTTGAACAACAAGAAGGTCTGGTGATTTCTTTCTACAAGGCACTAAGCAATTGGGGCCGAGTTCCAACAGCCTCTTGGAGATGAACCATGTGCTGCCAGTTGGCCACGGTCCTCACCAGTCCCTACTGCCCCCTTCACTCAGTCACATCCTTGACGGGCCCTGGGCAAGTCCAGTGGCAATGTGGTGACTTGCACTTAACTGTGTGTCCGTCCCAGCAGCAGCCGGCACCCAGTTACTGTGGGGGAGGGGTAAATAAGACAGAGCAGCCCTCCATCCCGTGAAGCTTATGGTCAAGGGCTAAAGACGATCGAGAGAGTCACTCCAATGTGGCTGGCAAGGCGTGACAAAGGTGTGCACCTCAGCTCAGGTTAGGGAAGGCCATCCTCCCCTCGAAGTGACAGTTTAGCTGACACCTGATGCACAAGTAGGAGTTAATCAGGCAGAGTGAAGGGAACAGCACATCACAGAAGAGGAACAGCCTGTGTGAAGCCCCAGGAGACAGAGGAAAAACAAGGGGGGATGATGTGGTTGGGAGTGACAGGAGTGGGTGCGGGAGAGTCCCGGCCCCCACCCACTTTCGAGAGGCAAGGTTCGGTGGGCGGGGTGGAGGCTGTGGGACGGGTGGGGGTGAATGGATTCAGCAGGGAGCTCATAATTTAATCAACAGGATGAGAAATAGAGGCAGTGTGTGTGAGAGAGAGAGACAGAGACACAGGGAGAAGTAGAGATACATAGAGATGCAGGTGAGAGCATGCTGGTATCGCCTAGCTTTCTGGCAGAAGGATTGAGTCAGGGGTGGGTGGGGAGGGACAGGCTGGGGGTGTGAGGGGTGAATCTGGCTTCAGGCCTGTGTGGACCTGAGAGGTTGGGAGCAGGTGGAGTGGGGTCCCAGCATAGACCTCCCGCCTCTCGCCCACCGCCTTCCAACCCAGAGCAGCCCCAGGTGTGAGGGTCTTGGAGCCTCCGTGCTGACAGAGGCCAGAGGGGGCAGCCACACGCCCGTCTGTCTGACCCGGGTCTGCGGGCCGTACGATGGAGCCGTGCGGCCCCCGTTGAGGGGGACGCTGGGGAAATGATGCAGGACCACAGCCTCAATGTTTGTCGAGGACGCAATGGGGTGGCCTGAAGGAGAGACCCCAGGTCTGACGTGAGGGCAGAGTGGGCCGAGTTCTCCGTCGCACAGCAGGCGGGGGGTAAGAATACACCTTGCTTGTATGGGACACGAGTGGCTTCCTGCTCGGAGCACGGGGATGGGGCAGAGTGAGCCTTGCCCGCACGGCCTTCTCCGGCGCGCATCCGAAGCCTGTGGACATTGTATCTATCAGACACGGTGCAGAATTCCAGATGAAAAGCCCAAGGGGCCCGTCCCATCTTCCCGGGGAGCCTGGGCCCTCACCTCGGCCTCCGGGTGGCAGTGGGGCCTGACAGGTGTGTTACACCCGTGGCTTCTTCCAACCTGGTGGCCCCACAAGGTCTGATTTGTTCTTAGGATCTCTTTCTCCCATTTCTCCAGGGCCCCGCAGCCTGGGCATCCAGAGAGGACGTCTGGCCTGAGAGTGGTGGGCTGGCCTGGGTGGATTGGGGTCAGCGAGCAGCAGGTGGGGGACGGTGGGGAGGGGGTAATGACACTTTCTGTTGCTTTTAGTTTGCTTTCCTGGGACTTGAAAGTAAGACGAAAACTGGAAGTTCAGCCTCATTTGGACCCCCCTCCCCTGGCCAGAGAACCCCTGTATCTACCCCTGGAGATTTCCCTGATCTCTGGCCTTCAGAGACTTTCCCGAAGCTGTTGGAACTCCTGCAGGAGCACTCTGGGTGATACGGCGGCTGGAGCAGGTGCTCGGAGCTGCGCTTCCCCATCAAGCGGCCCTAACGTTCCGGCTGAGCTTGGCAGGACTGCCCTACACAGATCCAGGAGAGGGAGCACAGCACTGCTGGAAGCCGACACCCACCTGGACAGACATGTGTACAGGCTCAGTGCGGCTCAGAGGTGTCCCCTTCCTGCGTTCCCCACCCCGACCCCAAGTGGGGCCTGCTTACAGAGACACCCCAGTCTGCTCAGGCGACCGTCTGAGAGAGGAAACCCACGTCCCTCTCCATCTCACAGTTCTGAGACCCGGCCCCACACCAGCTGCTGCCCCCAGTCCCTGGAAGAGCAGTGGGCGTGCTGCCAGCCACCAGGGCCCCGCCTCTGAACCAGAAGGTGCAGCGGACAGCCTGTGGCCGGCAGATCAGCCAGGCCGGGCTGAGTCCCAGCTTACCAGCTGTGTGACCTTGACCTCGGTCCAGCGACTTCGCCAATCTGAGCCTCTCTCCTCCTGCATGAAATGAAGAAGGGTTTTGGGATCAGTAAGTAAGAGAACATTTAGAGAGTGCTTGGCACTGAGGGGGAGGGGCTCCAGAAACAGCTGTTACTATGCGCCGACCCTAAACGCATCGGCCATTCGTCTTTAGGGGATCCTAGGACTCCTCGGGAATCTGAGAAAGCCTGGACGTTCTCCCCAGAAAAGCGTAGATCTACACCTACAGCATGGCTCCAGGGGATCCCGGATGTGTGGCTCATGTCCTTGGAGGTAGACCAAGTATCCGTCACCGGTGTTATCAGCCTGGCACAGTCTCCCTTCTTGAGCCGGGGGCCCCAGGCTCTGGAGGGACACAGCCCCACTGTGCATCCCGCTGCCTCCTTGAGCCCCGGGCTGGCTCCCAAGGAAAACCCGGCTCGCAGACTGGTGTGACAACTGGAGCTGCAGCCAGGGTGTGCGGAGAGCTCTGGCCACCTCCCTGCCGCCCGGCCCCACGCGGGCCCCACTTTCCTCCCCAGGCAGCCTTGGGGCTGCCAGGTGCTGGGCTGTCGGCGAGCCAGAGCAGATGATGTCAGGGATTTCCTTTGAAATCCTCACTGGTAGCGAGTCCCAAGGTGCCAAGCCCCAGCCTCTTGCTGACTTCACGGTTCCATGCAGGGACCCACCCAGAACACAGCCTCATTCCTGACCTTCTTCCTGGCTGGCCCGTCTCATTAACATATGCACAGCCCTGCAGCTCGGGGAGCCTGGTGAAAGTTACTCGGGGGCAATAAAGAACCCATCACCATTTTTCCCCCCAGGTACCCTTCCCCATGTGGCTTTTCTTCACCCCTCCTTGTCTTTCCCCCACCCCCCTGTAAATTATAAGCAAGCCATGGGTTTGGTTCTTTCTGCACAAGCCTGAGAATCTGGGGTTAAATAAGTATAAATAAATCAGCAGACCTTTTACTCGGGGACCCTTTTCCAGTCACGTCTGTCCCTTTGGCTCTAAGTACTTTACAAGGAAGTGCAGGGTCTGGGTGGAGACACAATCACCTGGGCTTGGGGACAATTTGCGGTTGAACGTGATGCTCTGACAAGATGGAAGCAGACAACCTTCGGCTCCCGTAGCTCCTCATGAGGTGGGCGGCTTATCTGGCCCTAAATAACCACAGCGTGGCCTCCAGACAAAAGGTTTCTCCGAATCCGGCACACCCGGCTTGATTGGGGGGCTGCTGCGGAAAAGGCGGCATCACCAACTGACTCTGAAAGAATGCTGTTTTCAGAGGCGTCGCCCTCCCTGGCAAACTCTGGTCTCAGAGGTGTAGGGTCAAATCATCATGGAGGGAAAACTTGACTCTGGGGCAAAAATGTAGCAGATCAGCTGCCGCCCATGGTATCTAAGACTGAGGATTGTTCCTCCATCTGTTAAGCACAGCTTTAGACCTCAAGTAACCAAGGACTGAAGTGACTGCCATGTAACATAAGATAGATTTATTTCTGTCGCTTGTAAACAAAACCCAAGCAGCAGTCCCGGGCTCAAGTGCCATCAGCGATGCTGACTCCTTTTCTCTCTCTGTTCCACCGTCCTCTGTGTAGGGTTTCCATTCTCAAGGTTGCCTTGAGGTGACTGCTGGAGCTCCAGCCATCACAGCCGTATTCCAGGCAGGAAACAGGAGAAAGGACTGTTGATCCGCATCGTCTTTCCCCCAAACCTTGTCGCCTCACATTTCCTTGATGACCTCAGCTGCAAGGGAGGCTAGAGGATAAGGTCTGTTAGCCGTACATAGTTTCCCAGAATCAAAACGGGATTCTGTGAGTAAGGAAGGGAATGCGGGTATTGGCTCTTCACCCAGCAGCTGCTCCCGCATTTCCCTTGAACACCCCGAGCAGGCAGTGACCCTGGCCTGCCAGTACCCAGTTGCTGAATACATAGCATGGTGCCAGGCTGGACGTGGCCCGGTGCCTGGCTTGGCCACACCCGGGCGTGTCCACACTGGGAAAGTCTGCATGAAGCGGGTCAGGGAGAAGACTGGTTCTAGAACCCACAGGGCCTTTGCTCTCTGCCGTGGAGGGAGCCACGGCTTTCCTGCACGCACACCCAGCCCAGCTCCTGGCGGTGGGAGCAAACCCGATAGAGCCCCTTACCCCCCATGCAGGGTGATGTGAGGCTGCAGACAGAGGATCAGAGAGTGAGTGAGGGGCCCTGGCCTCGGGATGGGAGGTCCGGGGGGCAGGGTGACTTTGGGGTGGGGTCTGGAGGGCAGGGTGACCTTCTAGGAAGGGTCCTTCTTGGAGTCACTCTACAATTTATCACCCAAATTGGGACGCATCGTCGTCAAAGGGGGTAAGAATAATCACACCCAAAGCCCAGACGCAAATCAGGTCCATTCTGGGGGGACCGCGACGCAGGGTGCCCCCCCTCCCCACTGCGAGGGACCTGGGGCCTGACCTAAGCTTTCCCGGAAGCGGTGTGCAGGCCACGGAGGTGCCGGGAGCTGAGCCCCTCCGCAAACGACTCAACAGCAAGAGCTTTGAGAAAGGTTGAAAATGAGGAAATGGAGAGGTTTTAATGCAGAGAAATGACAGCACGGCACATGCTTCCCCATCTGCCCCAACTGTCTGTCCGGCCAGGGAATGGGCATGTCGTGTGTCCCCAGGGCTGGCGGGGGCCCCGAGGTCAGGGTGCCACACGTGGCCTGCACACCTGTCCCAGGCGTTACATTCATCCGCTGTTCCGGCTTCTGAGGGATCGCTGGCCTCGCGCCTGGCATCTCGGCCTCTGTGCTGATGGCCCGATGACGCGGTGCCAGGTCGGCCCATCCCCAGCTGTGGGGGGCCCGTCCCCGCAGCCGAGCCTGCGCCGGGGCTCCCCCAAGGGCTCCGTGCCCCACTTGCACCCGCAGCGCTGCCGCTCAGACTTGAGGACCCCGCCTCACAGCTGGTCCTCGTCCACCCAGATGGTCTTGCGTTGCTCCTCGCTGATCTTGTCCTTGAGGACGCGCAGCAGCTCCTCCACGCTGCCCCACATGTCCGCCTCCACTGTGGCGTACAGGCAGGGCAAGGCCTCCAGCTCCTTCTCCTTGAGCCGGCACAGCCGCAGGAACTCCTCCTCTGTCTCAGGCCGAGGCAGCATCTTCCTGTGGGCAGGGGGTGGGGAGGCGGGACATGAGGCGCTGTGGGAGCTGCCCTGCCCGCCCTGTGGCCTGCCACCTGCCACGCTGGGTCCCCTTCCAACACAATGCCGCGCCCCTTTATTCCATTCACTGTGGAAATCCCAAGAGGTGGGGCTTAAAAAATATTTTAAATTTTTCTTTCTTTCTTTTTTTTTTTTTTAGTTTTCTTAGTTGCCTCTGCCAACATGTGTTCATTTCTTGGCGGGGGACAGTGGCTGTCAGGGCACATGAGCAATGGTGAGGTGGGGGCTTCTGTCTCGTTTGCTTGTTCATGGGGCCACTAGTGCCAGGCACTGAACAGGTGCTTAGAAAAGATCTGGAACAACAGGGGAGTGGCCTACCCTCTCTGTGCCTCAGTGGTAGCCTCGGGGAGCAGTGGTGGGGTCAGGGATGATGCCACGTGACAGCCAGGCCCCAAATCCCACAGCCAAGCCTTCAACAAAGGCTTCACCTTGAACGTGGATTCAGAATTGGACTTTCCCCATCCTCACCACCCGCCAGACAGGACCTGGGTCCCAGCTCTTGCCCTAGGTCCCAGCCTGTCTCCACAGAGCAGCTGGAGAGAGTCTTTTACACCCCGTGTTAGGTCAGGTCACTCGGCGCAGCTGGGAACCCCTGGCCTGCAAGGCTTCCTCCCTGTGCTGCCCACCACACTGCTGGCTATCGCTGTCCCCGCCTGAGGTCTAGGGGGCCTCTCCCTCTGCACCTGCCCAGCCCACGCTCACTGCACTGGGGCTGGTCCAACGTGGGCTTCCCTTCCCCAGGCACCAGGGTCCCGCGGCCACCACCTGCTCTGCACGTGTCCTGCCCCCACCCCGCCCCGGCACATGTTGTGTGTGCCTCTTATGGCCTCCACCGCTGCAGGCAGGGGCCGAGTCTGACCTACGCTGCGGCCGGCACTCAATGAGGACCTGGTAAAGGGGTGAGTGGGGGCACCAAGCAGCCAGCTGTACCTGGTGGGAACTCCAGAGGCGCGGTGGGGGGAGTAGGGGGTGTCTCAGGGCCCTACCTGAACCTTTTGATGTTCTTCTCTGACACCCGAATGAAGAGCACAATGGGGTAGATCCTGGACTTGATCAAGTCTCTGGTGCAGCCGATCCCAGCCTCCAGCAGACAGTGCTTGTCCTGCAAGCACAGGCGGCACTGTCAGCAGTTCCCCGGCCCCTCTGGGCAGCTGGGCGGCTGAGGCAGGGCCTGTGGGGCAGGAGCAGGGGCCAGAGGCCTGGGTGCCTCCAGCTGCACCAGGGAGTGACCCGAGGCAAGTCAGTTGGGCGAATGACTTTAAATGCATAACTCAAAGTCAGCTTCAAGAGCGCCTGCCACTCCCCTTGGCGCACAGTGGCATTCCTGGTACTAGGCAAGGGTGGAAAACTCCAGAAAGCTGAGCTGGGGCTGGATGATCTTGGGAATGTCGGCAAGGTTTCTTGGGAAGGATTCCCTGGCACCCCTGAGCTCATCGCTTCTGAAGGACAATCTCTGTTTTGCTGAAAGGGTCACATCAAAACCAAGCAACCCCCCAATGCCCAAACCCTCTGCCTTGAAATCGAACATGGTTGTAAAAGACAGTGCACGTGCCCCTAAGCATGCAGCTCAGTGAATCTTCACAACCTGACTGTGCACCTGCCCCATGCTCTTTCTGGTCACTGCCTTCATTCCCCCTGCCTAGCATGGCCACCACCCAGACCCCCCAATGGCACAAATCCACTGGGAGGCTTCACTTTTCTGGCGATAACCCTGCCCGCCCACGTTCAATCTACTTCATCATATTCCCTCAACTGCTGTGGCCCAGACTTAAAAACCAAATGAGTGGCCCCAGGCTGCAAGCTCTGCCCATGCATTCAATTGCGTGAGTGACAACATGGGGATGTGCCGGGTGGCAGACGCGGGGCTCCGGTGGGTACCTGCTCCCGGCCCCCCATCCAGGGGCACTGCAGAGATGACCTCCCGAAGCCAGAGTGGCATTCAACTGATAGCTTTGCTCTCTCAGGGTCCCAGAATGAGAAAGAACGCAATGCAGGGGGCTAATAACAGTCACACCACCCAGCTCTGGAAGGCTCTAAACTGTGTGCAGAAACCTCTCCCCTGTGGCTGCCAATAACATTTCTCCTGCTCTATCCCCCCTAGAGGGGAACATGCCTCCTGTCGCCTGCTTGCTCTCCTGTCTCTCGCCCTAACACGCGCTCCCTCTATCTCCGGCCCCTGTTATCACAGCTGGGCACGCACACAGCCCTAGACAACGCGAGCCGGAATGCCAGCACCGGGGAGCCATTGGAAATAGTAGCTTCAAAATATAAACGTGCACGTCAGAGCCCAGAGAACGAGGGTGTGTGGAGAGGCAGCACTGGGCAGGTGAGAAAAGAAGGGAAGGAGGTTTGCCCGCAGGGAGGGGAGAGCGACTCCGCACCCTGCCCCTGTGTGTGGCCGAGGCAGCCTCACAAAGACAAGGGACCCCACCTCACCTTGGCGGCCACAGCTTCAATGTTGGCGGGAACGATGCATTCGAAAGTGTTGGGGTTCTTCTCTCGGGAGTAGATGATGGTGTCCGTCTTCTGCTTCCTGAGGAACTCGTCCCTGGTGACCACATCTGTGGACAGAGGGCCAGTCCTGAGGGCAGCACAAACCCCCCTGTTCTGGACTCAGCAGGACTCCATGTTGATCCCCTGCTGGCCATTTATTTATTTATTTTTTTAATTTTTAAATGTTTTTATTTATTTTTGAGAGACAGAGTAAGTGGGGAAGGGGGCAGAGAGAGGGAGACACAGAATCAGAAGCAGGCTCCAGGCTCTGAGCTGTCAGCACAGAGCCTGACGTGGGGCTTGAACTCATGAGCTGTGAGATCATGACCTGAGCTGAAGCCAGACGCTCAACCGACTGAGCCACCCAGGCACACCTCCTACTGGCCATTTAAATGAACCGTAGCTCCTCTGCTAGACTGGGAGGCTTCTCAAGGGCAGGGTTGAGGTCATAGTTCCTTACACTTGCCACAGCAGCCCCAGAAGAGCTGCTTAGTAAATTCTCAGCATTAAGTTTCATTGGACAAAGTAGCTCAGGCACTGAGGTGCCATACTGGTGAACTGCCTACCATGAAGGATTTCCTGCTTTACTCATCTACCCATCCATCCATTCATCTACCTATCCACCCATCTACCCATCTAGTCATCTAGCCATCCATCCATCCATCCATCCATCCACCCTCCATCCATCCACCCATCCATCCACCCATCCATCCACCCTCCACCAGCTCATCTAGCCATCCATCCATCCACCCATCTAGTCATCTAGCCATCCATCCATCCACCCAACTGTCCATCTATCTATCTAACCATCCAACCAACCATCCATCCATTCATGTACCACCCACTCACCCACCCTCCCATCGACTTATCTGTCTATCCACCATCTATCCATCCACCCAACCATCCATTCATCTACCTATCCACATCTCCACCTCCACGTATCCAGCCAGCCAGCCAGCCAGCCAGTCCCCCACCCCCCATCCCTCCATCCATCCACCTATCCATTAAATTGATTTTTATTAAAATTTAGTATTTATTGAAAATCTACTAAGGATCAGGCTTTAGAATAAAAATAAGATAAAACATAGCTGTTGTTGTACTTGAGAACGTGTGACCTAACTAGGAAGAATATGGGATACAGAAAATTATGCAAAGATTTAGTAGGTGCAGCAATGGGCTACTTATTGTGGCAGCAGAGAGAAGGAATGGAGGAAACAGGAGAGCAGACAGACTTCCTAGAGGAGGAGGTATGCACTGAAGACCCCATTCACTAGCCAGGTGACCCCAAATATTATCTTTAACCTCTTGGCCTCAGGTTCTCCATTTATAAAAATAAAAGAGTGGTCAGCTCAGGCCTGGAACTCCCTGCATAAGCCCAGGCTGGTCGGAGGAGCCCACACTAGACGGGGTTTGGCATGTACACTCCAGGATGCACAGGAAGGCAGTTGGAAGGGATCTGGGGAAGAGCCAGTGGGGAAGTGCTGCAGGTCTGTGGGTGCTTTTGGGGGACAGAGGCGGCCTAGAGCCCCCGCCCTACAGTGCCCACAGCCCCCTGGCTGGGACAGCACCGAGGGGAAGACAGGGCACTTTATGTTACACACCTTTCATAGAACTAACACAACCCCAGGGACACCGTGTGGCTGCGATGGGGTGGCTCTGGACGCCCAGAGTGTAACTACGATGACGCCGAGGACAAGTGCAGCTCGCAGCCAGGACGGGGCTCAGCGTGCAATCAGGGCCCCCTAGATGGCATCCAGGACAAGGAGGCCCTGGCGATGGGTGGCTTGCCTCTTAACCTAAGGGCTCAGAGTGGGGACCCCAAGTCACGTCTCCTGACCTGTCTGTCACCTTTGCCCTGAGCGCTCAGCATGAATGGTGAGGGGATGGCCTGCTCCCCCGGCTCTGCAGCCACGGTGAACTCTGAGAGGGTCCGAGACCCTCCCTTCCCGAGTGCCCCAGGCCAGGCAGGACTTCTGGCTCTCCTGCCGCCCTATAGGACGGAGGAGGAGGAGGAGAGGGAGGAGGAGGAGGAGAGTGCGGAGGAGGAGGAGGAGAGGGCAGAGGAGGAGGAGAGGGAGGAGGAGGAGAGGGAGGAGGAGAGGGAGGAGGAGGAGGAAGAGAGGGAGGAAGACGAGAGGG